AATCTCACTGTGTGAATCTCCACTTCATAAGCTCCACTTTAGTATCTTGAATAACTATTTGTAAGAAGATAATCTGTAATCATCAGCTAGTGATTTCTTACTGTTTTTTTTTTCTTTGAAATTATCCATTATTTCTACCCGTTTTCTGTTTTGTTTAATCTTTCTTTAAATTCAATTTTTAAAAAAAGACACTACAGTACCCAGTGCTGCTCATGGAGTGTGTCATGATGTGAAATCCAGCAATACTATTATTCTTTGTTCAGCATGCTCTTAACCTGCTTTAATTTGTTTAATCTAAACATAAATGAAGCTATGGATAACTGCATGTATGTTTAAATGTATAGGATTGACAACCATGTTACTAAGTTTTTGTTGGACAGTTGAACAGAACTCTTTGCGGTCTCATTGTTTGAATTCCCACTTTACATGTTACATTTTTATATCTTGAACAACTGTTTGTAAAACGACAATATGTAAACATCAACTAGTGATTTCTTACTGTTCATTTTTTTCTCTGAACATATGTATTATTTCTACCTATTTTCTGTTTTGTTTAGTCTTTCTTTAAATAAAATTTTTAAAAAGCTAGATATGGTAGTACTTGAAATATAAGGGCCTCTACAGCGTTCTTATGGACAATTGCAAGGGTTAGCAACCACTGTTCCATTTCCAGGTAGTATATGTTTCAGTTCTGCAGTTTCCAATGATGTCTGACTCAACTCTGCTTCTATTGTGGGAATGCAGCCATAGGCAATATGTGAATCATCTGGCTAGGAGTTTCCCAATAAAACCTTTTGTTTAGAAAATTACAAAGGTTTTGGTCCACGGGCTGTAGTTTCCAGATTTCCTATTATTATTTACTGACCTCTGGTCCTATTAATAATGAAAATGCTCAGTGTGAATAAAAGGGTGAGAAATACATGAAAACAGCAAAGGAATAAGCTCATATAAAGGAACACAACTTAAATGAATAGGGTACATTTATAAAGAAAAGGGAAGTAAACGTATTTTAGGCACTGTTATAGCAATATACTGGCCCATCTGGGCCCAAAGCCCACTTTAATACTGACCAAGTTAATTCACTGTGCGCAATTTTTTCTAGATCTTAGTTGGTTTGGCTATAATTGGGGATGCATGGGTGTGGGGTAATGTTTCTTCTGCAAAGCAAAATTACAAGGGTTATAGGACAGAATCTTGTCTTCAAGGGCAAGAGAGAATGGTAGGTCTGAAAATACAACTTTTCAGTGTGAATCTGCCACAAGACCTCAGCAGGTGAAACTTGTCTGCTCTGGTCCAGTTTTCTTTCTATAATAGCAAAGTATCTAGTTATTGCAGGAACACAAACAATGTTTCCTGAAAAAAATGACATAAGGTAAAAATAAGAGTTTCACTGGGCATGTAAAATTGGCTTAAAGCAAATATGTCATTTATTACAATACTGCATGTAATCACAGTTGGAAATTTATGCCTCAGAACGCCTAAAATTTTGTGTTTAGGAACTGTAATACAATCTCAAAACACAGAACTATGAACCAGCATCTAAATGTACTACTGTTTTACTCACATTCCTGATGGCTTACTCCAATTTTTCCTCAATTATCAAAGACAGTGATACACATGAAAGCTAAATGGATTTTGCAATGATGTGCTTCCTTTTAAACAATACCCTTTCCCTCTAAAATTAATAACACAGAACAAGCATACCTACTTTGGTACCACTGATTCTAACACAATATGGTTGAAACTTTTCTGACCATGCTAAAATATCTTCTATCTTTTCTCTAAGTTAAAAAAAAAATTAAATGTGTTACAAAAGTATTGAGATTTTAACAAATCATGGTAAGGACTGGTGTTAGCAGTAATATATATTGATAATGAACTAATAAATAGTAACATTGATGATGAAATAATTCTTATTAAGTATGGTTGCCAACGACATTTTTCTTTGAGGCCTGAAATATTAACAGCAAATATTAACAGCCTCCTTCACCATCTTTTCTTTGCAAGTCACTTTGCATGTTGATGTTGAGCGCACAACAATAGCCACATAGCATACCTGTAATATGACTTTTACAAAGTGAGCAATTACATATGGCGCTGAATTTGCTTTCCACTAGGGAAAAACCACAGTTCACTTTCTACATTAACAACGTGGCCGTAAATTTCTAACTTGCTAATGTTACCATCTAAAACTTCTTCATCTGCTTTTTAGAATTAGCTAGTAATACACAACCAAACCAGGCCAGACCTAACCGACCCTGGATGGACACAATATATCATAGCATGTTCTCTGACACCCTTTCTCAGAAATATTTGCTTCAATTATAGTTTTTGCCCATTTTAAGAGTAAAAGGTTCTTTTTTTTCTGACATTAACAGTTGGTGCCTTTAAGTAACCAGACATTTGCTTTTAGAAGGTCATTTTTCGCACACATCCTGCCATCAACATTATTGTTTACCTTTTAAGGTTAGTTTTTACAAACTTTTAGTTTTTAAAAATTCTTTTAACCGCCTTTGTCTATGTTCTCTACTTTAAAATCGAAAATGCTTCATTTTACTAAAAAGCAAAACAGACTAATTTGGAAGATAACAAGAATGTATCATTGAAAGAGAATTCTTTCTTGGTCTAGAATATGTGCTAAGTTTATGTGGTATCCACATTATGTTTCTTGTTCATCTGCCACCTCAACAGCAGTAATATCAAATCAAAATGTCTTCATTACCTACAAGAAAACCTGTAGCATACAGTAGATCCTGAACTAATACTTGGTGTACTGATCACTCTCCATTAACGTCCATACTTGCCATACTTGATGGCCTCTGCCTTTTGGACCGCAATTTAATTTCTTCAAAGTCTTACTCTAGCTTAATCAGACCAATGTGGTCTCTTGAACATGCCATATACCTTCCCACAGCACCTCAGTTGTTTTGTTATTTTGCTAATGTACTATATTTCAAAATCCACCACTGACACACCACCAGCCTGCCTTCTAGTTCTAGTGGAAATGCCATCTCCTACATGAGCCCTTCTTTAAACAACCTGGTAGCTCTCTGTACTTTTAAAGGAAGATGTGCATTCATATTTTAAGTAAAACAAATCACTGTAATTTCTTTGGCTTGGAATTCCTGTGTGTGCTCATCATATGTTCTATTCAGTCTGGCAAAGTGGCTTTGTACCAAAGAGGAGTTCTAAAAACTAGTATTTTATATTAAGCAAATAAACTTTAATTGTTGTAGAAACAGCTATCTTGATGGAGATCACAAGGACGTCTGTCCCATGGCAGAATACTAGCTATTATAATGTCAGGCACATACTGTTTGGGTTTCAAGAAGACACTCTAAGAAACCTGTCTTTCTCAGTGAGGAAGTCAGAGCTAACAAGTTTATTTGAACTGATCTGTCACTGCTGGCCCCAAAAGGCATTTGAAAAACACTCGGGAAAGGTATGCCTTGGGTATTAGAAGATCACTGATTCAAATGCAATATGCATTTACTTGCACATTCACTTAAACGTGCTAACGTAACTCAGAAGCTGTCATTAAGAATGGAGTGAAGGGGGCCGGGGATCTAGCTCAGCAGTGTAAGCGCCTGCCTGGCAAGTGCGAGATCCCCGGTACCAAAAAAAGATGGGAGACAAAGAGTTGAAGAATATAACTATTGTTCTTTTTATAAAGAATGTATAATACCTTCGTTGCATTTTGAGCTCTGTTTAACTCAGAATAGTCTGCGTTATAAAGGGAGCAATTTAAAGAAATGAACAACCTCAAAAATTCTATTGAAGAAGCCAGAAATAAAATACTGTATATTGTATGATTCTACTTTTATTATTTGCTCAAAAGTGGAGACAAATAGTTATCAAGATTTTCTTGGGTCTCAGAGTGAGTACTAGGATCACGTGTGAATGGCTCTGAGGAATCCCACTGGGGTAAACAAGTGTCCTATGGTTTATGGTGACGGCTAGACAATTTAATAAATTACTTAGGGCCACTGAAATGATAAGGTTAAAATGAATGAATCCTACATTACATAAATTATATCCCAATAAAATAAAAAATGCAACAAAGGAAAAGAGATAACTAGTAATGAATGTATGTACTTCACGCAGAAAAAGCAGCATATTGTAAGCTCTAACGTTATGACAGAGCTGAATCATCTTACCTTAACAAAAAGTAAGACTTGTAACATTTGTGCATGAAAATAAGTGTTTATAACACACTGAAATTCAATCAATCCATATTTCTTTAATTTAGATTTTCAAAACAAATACACATCATCCTCCAAACAACTTGACCTTAAAATTTATCAGCTATTATTCTATTTTGAATGTTTCACATAAGAATAGTTGTTTTTATTTCAACAAAAGAAAAGCCTTGAGCTCATTTGGTGCACAGCACTTTCGACAGGAATACTGATTTAACAGAAGAAAGTCTCAGAAGATACTGGTACTATATCCGTGTCTTGAATGCACTATGGTATAAATACGCCTCAACTAAACAAGTGCCTCATAGCACAAATCATTCAAATGAAATTTTGTAGCAGCAGATCGCCTTCTTTAATAAAATCCAACCACTTACTCACAAAACTAAAGCCTCGCATGCTACAGGATACCTAAGTCAACCCCCTCTCGCACCCCAAGGAGCTCGCAGTCACAGGGGTAAAAGGCCACAATGCCAGGCAGTCAATACCCAGAGCAAGGAAGATCACATCGCTCTTATCTGTCAAATGAAATGACACCTGCTTGGGTGTTGACAGCACATACAAGGATCAGAACTGACTGCACAGTCAGCAAGTCATAATCGTTAAACTGCTTGATAAAACTAAACAAAACAAAACAACCAAAGTAAAAATCAGTAAGTGAGAGAAGCCTTATAATTTTGGGAAAAAATAGTTTCAGTTGGAAAGACAATGCTGCTGGGATAGATTTAAATTTCAAAGGCTGGTATAATGTTTCCTTCTATCCTGAGAAATTAAAAAAAAAAATCGAAGCAATCAGTGGATTACCTCGAACCACCTCTTCCACAGACTCCGTGGTGGTGGTGGTAGTGGTGGCGATGCTGGTGGTCTTCTCTGTGGCTTCTTCATAGGGCTCCTCGGCCTCCTCCTCTACCTCATCACCGTCCTCCACATCCTCGTCATCATCGGCTTCTTCTTCCTCAACATCTGCCACTTCTTCCTCCTCTGCTACTTCCACTACTTTGTCTTCACTGTAAGAGCAAACAGAAATTACCTTCATAATCACATGAATATCAAGGCAGAAAAAACAAAAAAACTGAAGAAGACATTTTGATAATTTAATAGGGAACATGCATTGAAGAAGAAAAAAAACTCCACATGAAGCTTAAATCCAGCGAGTTTAAGGACAAATTCCAGCTCAATAGGTCTGAGAAACTTTTAACTCTTGGCCCCAGCTCCTCTTAGTTTATACAGATGCAAACAGAGACTTTCACGGTGATTCCAACAAATTATGGAGCTGCTCAAGAGACTGGGGCTTCCTGCATCAAAGGAAGGGGCAGAAGGGATGCGTAGGGTACATCATTAAAGCGTTTGAAGACAGTGGAACTAATCTTTACTACACTGGTGGATGCACAGCATTACACCTTTGTCAAAATCACAGAATGCACAACACAAAAAGTGAAGTAAAATATGATATGAGTTAATAATAATGTATCAATGTTGGTTCCACTAAGGCAAAATGTTAAGAACAGGGAAAATGGGAGAGTTGATGAAAGGAGGTAGAAAAGAACTTGTGTACTTTCTGTTAAAGTTTTCTGTAGACTTAAAACTGTCCTAAAACAGTGTATCAAAGAAGGAGGGGTAAGGACTACCCAAACCAAGCTCACTGTCAGAGGAGTTATTCTCATAATGCAAGAGAAAGAACCGCACAGGACCTGTCCAGCAGTATTCAGTAAGTGTAGGGAAAACTGGTTCAGAAGCTACTAATGTAAGCTTAAATCGGATACAGAAAGGGGAGAAGATTGACTTTAAAAGCCCATGGTCAAGGAACTACGAATTTGCACTCCCTATTCTGTCAATTGCTTCAGTGGTTCTTCAATTTCAGCAAGCACTCAGAATCACCTAGGAGGCTTCAGTAAAACAAGGCTCACCAGATTCCACCCCTAGAGTTTCTGAATCAGTTGGTTTGGGATTCATCCTGAGAACCTCCACTTCTGACGAATTTCCAGGTAATGCTGACACAGTTTAGCAGGCAGCAAAACATTTTTTCATTGCAATTTTAAAAAAATTTATTAGTACACTTTGATGTACATAATGATTACACTAATGGTGGGGAGTCGGCACATGTGTGCAACACATCTTAATTCTGTTTTCATCCCCTTCCTGTGCCTCCCTTCCTCTCTTAGTAGGGAGCAGGATTTTGAAAATCAGTGAAACATCACACAATACTGAGAACAATGGCATGAGTAAACCCACAGTAACATGTGGAAAAGGATCAAACGTAACACTTACGGCATTGAATTTTGTCTTGCTGATTTATTACTCATGCACAATCGGTGAGTAACAAATCAGCAAGACCAGAAGACAAAAGGAGGATGTGTCTGGGAAAAAATTAAAAAGGCCTATTAAGAAATCCTGTGGTAATCACGGGCAGACTTACTGTAGAACATTTGAGAGAAGAAAAGGAAGGTGGGAATGTAAGTGTTGGATAGTGAATGTCTACTGCGTTTTACCTGGCAAAAGGCGAGAGAAAAACAGCCTTGATCAGATCACAAAGCCAAAGAAGCCAGAAAAGAGCCCTTGATGTGACAGAGGATTTCCACGTTCAAGAGAATCGTCCACAGATCTATGTGAGAAAAAGGGCCGCAGGAATAGGATAGAGGGCTGCCATGCTGTCATTTAAAGTCCCCACAAAAAAAGAGAGGTGAGTTACTAACCCAGAGCCGATTCTGGCCAACAAAGAGAAGCTCATTGTTGGAAAAAGTGATAGGAATCTGCAACGTTATTCTCAGCCACCTTGTGATGCCTTGAAACATGGCATCACAGTGCAGGTCCAATGTGATGGAGGAGACCTCATTTCAAACACATTAGGGAACGATGTGTGATTCTAGCCCTGGTCTAGATGCAAGACTTTTGAAATTCAAAGTCCAACAGGATGATCCAAGAAATTTTGTGAAGGGTGCAAAGGGAAAGGTATGCAAAGAAGTGAATACACATTAGAGAGAATTCTCTGCTTACTTCAGAGAATATATAAAGAATTTTTATCCATGTTAAGGATATGTATAAACCTTTGGGAACATGTATCTGTGATTCCATATGATGCAAGTGTAGGATAAAGAGTGTTTACAAAATTTATATTACAATGTGTCTGGACCTTCTCTTCTAACTGGTTAAATCTGATGCAAGGATAATGAATGAATGCATTCAGACAGGTCTGGCGCATGTGGCTAAGGAATAAAGAGTAAGTTATTAAGCAGAATGATTTAATCATTGAGTAATATGTTACCCAGAAACCCCCAGCTGGTTTTTTTTTTTTTTTTCACATGTCCACAGGACCATGAAGAGACAGGTGAAGAGAGAAAGAATGAGCACTGGCTTTGATAACCAGCAACAGAGGCCTTTATTTGCTTAAAGGTAAATGGGGTGAAATAATTTCCTATTTCCTACAGAAACACTTCTGCACAATACTCAATTTGACAAAATTTCAAAGGAGTATTAAATTTAAGTGTCTTAGCTGTTTCAAAATTTACTGTTTCTTCATTCAACTACAGAACCTCAAAGTAAAAAAGGAAAGATGACCTGATGCAGATCACCCGCTTATCGTGTTTGATATGTCTCTATGATTCAGTCAAATCATAAGCACAATATTGTTTATATGTCCAATTTAAGTGGAAAATTAAAGCAAAACCCAAGAGAAAATGTCAGGTAAAACTGAATCAAGCCTGCATTCTCCTTAAACCAAGAACTGTGCATACCCATCAGCACGGGTGGAGTAAGGCCTGAGTGTGTGTCCTGGGTTTAAGATAGCTCTGTGCTGCCAGGTGGGATGGTGAAAACATGACTCTGGACACCCTCGGGTGACTTCCCAGCCCTTTCTGTTACCATTGGAATGCTGCTCTTAAAGCTCCAAACAAAAACACGCCTGTGAAAACAGCTGCTTCAAGTAATCAGCATTCTGGTATGTGTCTGGCCATGCAAAAGGGTAAATTACATGCCTATCTTCTATCACTGCATCTGCCTGCACAATTTACTGGCACAATGACATGGAGCAGACATACATAATGGTTCAACTGGCTGGAGAATTAAATTACTTGGCCTGAGAAAACTCAGGTCCAGTTCTTATTACCGTACCTTTGATTTCTGCAATCAAATTTCGATGGCCTGAATTCAATTATCTACTTGGACACTGTTTCAAATGGTAACCCACAAATGTATCTTAATGATGCTGCATCTTTCTCAAAAATACTAACTATGCCAACATTACAACTTCTAATTGCAGTTCTCATGAGTTTTCAAGGAAACCTTGAAAAGAAAAAAATTACTTTCCCCTGTCAATTCACATGCCAAACATTTGTTCTGTGATGTGACCCTAGGTAAGGAGATTTTGAAAGCTCAGAGACACAAGAAAACTCACGGAGGCAGCAGTTTATGGAATGACCAGGTTGAGCATCACAGAACAACTTCCTGTAAGATTCACCACAGATCAGTCAGTTGATAACAGGATAAGATATTTATATTACATTCCTGAACTTCAAAGGCTGTCAACCTAGAGTAAGTCTTTTGCACAGATTTTAAATACTAACAGTAAGATGTGCTTCTCTAGAATGAGAAAACTATCTGAAAATGCTGACAACCCCAGGAGTATCTGAATATATTAAAAGAGGTCAAAAGGATGTTATTACAAGGAAATAAATCACTGATGATAAAATTTTACGTGTCAGCATGCAAGATTTTTCACTGGTGAAGGATAAATTGTTCGCAAAGATGACTCCTTTTATTTCTAAACAAAGGCTGACCTTGACAGAAGGCTACTTGGCAGTGGCCTCCTAAAAAGTTTCATTAGATAGTAAGATACACACACCACTTCTAATTCTTTCTTATTAAATCATGCACAATAATTCATCACCATGTATGTTCTGTAAAAAAAAAAGTCATAAAACATTCTGGAAAAGGCAAAACTAGACAGTAAAAACAGCAGCAGCTGACAAGACGTAAGAGGAAGGGGAGGATGAAGATGCAGAACACAGAGGACTTTTAAGGCATTGAATCTGTTCTGCCTGATAGTGTGTTGACAGAAAGAAGTCATTAAACATCTGTCCAAATGGACAGGATGCACACTAAGAGTGAACCCTAATGCCAGCTGTGGAGTCTGGGTGGTAGCGATATGTCAAGGTAGGTTCTCTGACTGTAACAAATGTGCCCGGGTGATGGGTGAGTTGGTAATGGTGGAGCGCGGCTGGGGAGGAAAAGGCTACATAAACATCTGTGTCTCCTGCTCGATTTGTGTGAATCCCAAATGGCTCTGAAACAATCCTTTAAAAAATGAAATTAAATAAAACTTTTTAAAAGCTCTATCCTTTCCTAGTCTCTGATAAGACTTTTCCCTTCCTATTACAGGACAAATAATGAAGAGGAAACATCAGAGGGCATATTCAGATGTGAATGGAAATAAACACGAGGCAAAGTGAAAACCACCCACATCAGAGAAAGGCCAGCAGGGCACATCACAACACCAAGCAGCTGGGACCCATAAACGTTAATGTAGACCAGAAGAAAGGGTCTCTGGGAGTGTCCCAAAGCTTGGAACAGAGAAACGATGAGCACATTTTGCACAAAGACAAACAGATGACTCCCTCACCTCTGCCTTAGCTCTCAGGGCTGCTGGAGTTTAACAACTATAAATTACAATGCCTGCATAAATCACCATGTCCCAAGGCAATGCAGGTTCTCAAGTTCTTGCTGTTAAATTAGGAAAATCAGAACTTGAAGAAAACGTGAAAGGGAATTTGTTCTCTTCGGTTCTGAGGAAAGGTTTCCAGATGGGTTGAGGAAAAGAAAAAGCCAGTATCTCTTCCATTTCAAGGCACTGCTATAAGCCAGGCACAGAAGGATATACTCTCGAGTTCATTTACATAAACTATGAAATGCGCAAATGTCCAAGTAGATAAATGCAGGGCAATCCAAAAGCTGAGTGGGAGGAGGCGCAGGAGGGACTGGGGAGCCTTCAGGTCCTGACTTGGAGTTGCTACCT